TTCCTCACGGGCTTTGTGTCCCCAGCCCCTCACCAGCCTCGCTGTCCCCTCTGGCTGCACTGAACATCTCAAGGTCCCTGCAGCTCTCCTGACCAGCCCAGGCTGTCCCAGGATGTCCCTGGAGCTGTCCCAGGCTGTCCCAGTGTGTCCCAGTGTGTCCCAGTCTGTCCCAGTCTGTCCCAGTGTGTCCCAGTCTGTCCCAGTCTGTCCCAGTGTGTCCCAGCGTGTCCCAGGCTGTCCCCGGGCACTCACGGTGACGCTGTTGACGTTCTGGAACTTGACGTAGCGCAGCTGGATGATGCCGTCCTCGCGGATGTCCTCGGGGCCCAGCTGCAGCGCCTGCGTGGGCTCGCTGCGCTCCGCCTCCTCAAAGTCCATCGAGCGCGGCAGGTTGATGAAGATCTTGATCAGCTTGGGGCCTTGGCCTGGGCAACAACACAGAAATGCTCTGGGTAATGATCCAGAAATGCTTTGGGGATCAGTCTAGAATTGTTTTATCTGTGTAACAACCCAGAAATGGTTTGGGGATCAATCCAGAAATGGTTTGTGAACAATCCAGAAATGGTTTGGGGATCAATCCAGAAATGGTTTGGGGATCAATCCAGGAATGGTTTGTGAACAACCCAGAAATGGTTTGTGAACAACCCAGAAATGGTTTGGGGATCAATCCAGAAATGGTTTGGGATCAATCCAGAAATGGTTTGTGAACAACCCAGAAATGGTTTGTGAACAATCCAGAAATGGTTTGGGAACAATCCAGAAATGGTTTGGGAACAATCCAGAAATGGTTTGGGAACAATCCAGAAATGGTTTGTGAACAATCCAGAAATGGTTTGGGGATCAACCCAGAAATGGTTTGTGAACAATCCAGAAATGGTTTGGGAACAATCCAGAAATGGTTTGTCTGTGGATCAACCCAGAAATGTTTATTTGTGTAACAATCCAGAAATGTTTATTTGTGTAACAATCCAGAAATGTTTTATTTGTGTAACAACCCAGAAATGTTTATTTGTGGATCAATCCAGAAATGTTTTATTTCTGGATCAACCCAGAAATGTTTAATTTGTGTAACAATCCAGAAATGTTTATTTGTGTAACAACCCAGAAATGTTTGTGTAACAATCCAGAAATGTTTTATTTGTGGATCAATCTACAATAAATAATTGTATTTGTTTAGTTGTGTGTCAATCCGCAAAAAACACTCCAATTTGGGTATCAAATTATAATAAATATTTATATTTATTATTGATCCATTATTATTGCATCCAGCTGTAATAAATGCTTTGTGTACCAAACTACAATAAATACTTTTGTGTATCAAACTTTAAATATTTGTATTTGTGTATCAATTAATAAAGATTTTGTGTCTCAATCTAGAATTAATTTTTTAGTTGTACGTTTATCTCTAATAAAGTGTATCAAACTTTAATAAATAGTTTGGTACATCCATTTATAATAAATACTTTATTTGTTTATCAATATTTTTATTTGTGTGTGAAGCTACACTAAATACTTCTGTGTATCAATTTAATATAAATACTTATGTATCAAGCTATAATTAATATTTAATGTATCAAACTGCAATAAATTTTATATCAAGCTATAATTGATGCTTTTATTTGCATATCAAGCTACAATAAATACTTCCACTTGTGTATCAATCTATAATATTTTATTTGTGCATTAATCTATAATAAATAATAATATTATAAATAATATAATAAATGTTTTGTGTATTAATCTATAATAAATACATTTGTGTATCAAGCTACAATAAATACTTTTATTTGTGTATCAATAATTTGTTTCTGTATCAATCTATAATACTTTTATTTGTGTATCAATTAATAATTTGTTTCTGTATCAATCTATAATGTTTTTATTTGTGTATCAATCTATATTACTTTGTATATCAATCTACAATAAATACTTTGATTTGCGTATCAATTAATAATATTTTGTTTCTGTATCAATCTATAATAAATGCTTTTATTTATATATCAATTAATAACTTGTTCCTGTATCAATCTATAATAAATGCTTTTATTTATATCAATCTATATTACTTTGTGTATCAATCTGCAATAAATAATTTAATGTGTGTATCAATATATTACTTCGTGTATCAATCTAAATTAAATACTTTTATTTGTGCATCAATTAAAAATATTTTGTTCCTGTATCAATCTATAATAAATACTTTTATTTCTATCAATTTATATTGCTTCGTGTATCAGTCTACAATAAATACTTTTATTTGTGTATCAATTAATAATATTTTGTTTCTGTATCAATCTGTAATAAATGCTTTTATTTATGTATCAATATATTATTTTGTATATCAATATCCAATAAATACTTTAATTTGTGTATCAATTAATAATTTCTTTCTGTATCAATCTATAATAAATACTTTGATTTGCATATCAATTAATAATTTGTTTCTGTATCAATCTACACTAAATATTTTAATTTGTGTATTAATTAATAATATTTTGTTTCTGGATCAATCTATAATAAATACTTTGATTTGTGTATAAATTAATAATAATTTGTTTCTGGATCAATCTACAATAAATACTTTTATTTGTGTATCAATAATTTGTTTCTGGATCAATCTATAATAAATACTTTGATTTGTGTATCAATATATTACTTTGTATATCAATCT